CGTACGTCGTACGTACGTACGTACGTACGTACGTACGTACGTACGTACGTACGTACGTACGTACGTACGTACGTACGACGTACGTACGTACGTACGTACGTACGTACGTACGTACGTACGTCGTACGTACGTACGTACTACTACTACTACCTCCTCCTCTCTCTCTCTCTCTCTCTCTCTCTCTCTCTCTCTCTCTCTCTCTCTCTCTCTCTCGCTCTCTCTCTTTCTCTCTCTCTCTCTCTCTTTTCTGTTGGTTTTTTAAATAAACGTTTTTCTCTGGTATTGAGCCCAGATTGCGTGATTGTCCTCCATGAACGAGTTCAAGTTGTTGTGAACTTTATAGACAAAGGGAATTAGTGTATTTCACATTTAGGTCTGAAATGGCGCTTCCGAATTTAATTTGGGGAAGAAAAAGCCGCTTTTCTGTATTGAAATGCAATATTTTTTAGTTTGGTTGAACCCACTCGCTTTGAATCACTGATATATAATCAACAAATCAACAACATACTTCATGGAGCATCTAGCCACATTGGTTCGCCAAACCATTTATAACTGTACTCATAAATTTCTTTCCCTGCAATTATATCTTTATTTTTTCCATCCATGCAATTATTTGAGTGCAGGATATGTCATTGTGATATGAATCTTATTGGTCTCATCTCAAACATCTAAGATCGCCATGTGAGTGTTTCAATTTAGCTTTGAGATACTCTGCCATTGTATTCTGAATTTTCCTAAGATATAACATGAATATACATACTCTACTCTAAGTTCTATCAATAAACGGAGTCTGATAATATGAATTCACGTATGTTGTTTGTTTTTGCTTTAAAGCATGGCCTGCTGGAAGTAAGTTGAGGAGATCAGTTAAGCACTGAATGTGGGATGATCCATTATATATGATTCTCAGCCTAGTATAATAAGCGGAAATATCATTCAGGGATGAGGTTGCTATACAAATCCTCTGCGTTATGACTTTCCTTTGTCTATTCTATGGTTTCCATGTCCAATTTACAGCACATGCACACCACGCACAAAAAAAAAGGAAAAAAGAATCCTAGGTAGCGCTGTTACTCTTTCCAATTTTGTAGAAATCATCGGTTCCCAAGTTGGGAATACAATGAAGTATAAGTGAGTGGGTTCTTCTGTTTTTTTTTGTTCCTTTAGCTGGCTGCATGTATCCTTTTAAACCCTTTTCTAAGAGGCCATCCTTATACGTGATGAATTGATCAAGCCTTTTTTTTTTTTGCAGCTTTAGATGCAAGAATCCCCTGTTTGGGGCTGCAAACTCTCATTTGTTGCCCATAGGGCATGAGCTGTCCTCGTCAAAGGTTTGTGTTGCTGCAGATTACTCAGATTCGTTTCCTGATGCATCTAATTACAGGAGGGATTCAGGTTACCATCCTCTCGAAGAAATAAAGGACTTCAACAGGAGGAGAGATACCGTGCTTACTGATGCTGAAATAGCCAGGACTGCTGTTGAGGTGATTCACATTGCACCAATATCACTGGTTCACCACTCGGATAATGAGGTTTGTTGTGATTTAAATCTGTTACATGGAAACATTCTTCTTTATGATGGTGCAGGCTAATAGCAGTGCTTTGCTAATATTCCCGGCTGCTGTGCATCGAGAACCACATGAGCATCTCTCCTGGGCTGAATTTCAGTATGTCATTGATGATTATGGAGGTCGGTTGCTCTATGTTGTTCACCTGTAAACTGTACTATACTGTGTTTTTGACATTTCTTTTTCCTTATGCAGTGCACAGATATTACTGGACTGATTCATTTGAAGTTTGCAGATATGTATTTTGAGATCTATGATGATGAGAACATCTTGCAAAACCGTGGGGCGAGTAATCTTGTGGTGAGAAATTTTGTGCGCGTTCTTCTTGCTCAGCACATTTGTTGTGTGGTCAATGGCATAGATAAGTTTGTCTTTGACCCATCCCTGATTGAAGTTGCATTCAGAATGTTTTGATAGGATTAAACGAGGCGCAGGTGTATGGTGATAATCAAAGAGTACTTATTGAAAATCTTGACGATATTTATAGTGACAGTAGTTATGAACTCGATGTGGAAATTGATCTTGATGAGGTATCAATCAACCTATCTTTCTGGGGTACTTGTATTTTGTATCTGATTCTTAAATGGCGTACAGTAGACCATATTTCTCATGAGAATTCATTTTAAACAGACTGGTGTTTTCGAGTTCACTGGCACAGATTTGGGGATGCCAAATACGATGCTTCAGGTTCATCCAATGTACTTTGCAAAATGTTTGACTAAGGTATTGTTCCTAAAATGATGAAAGTATGTTTTCCACTGTATGTGCATGCATATGTGCATGGCATATGTGAGGATTCTCGTATCAGGATTTGTTTTTTGCAATATGTTGACATTAAGCTTTTGAGGCAGTTAGAGATCATGTCGCCCATTTATCAAGCAAAGATCGACACCACTTAAAAGAAATGATTGATAGTTATAAAAGCGTCTTTAACAGCTGATATTGGAAATAAATCAATGTTAGGTATTGCTGCTGGAATTATATTATTCTTTATGAGTATGTCTTATATGGTTGCCTTTCTATAGGCAGTTTATGCAAAGCATGCAGAGAAGATGGACCACCCCACTAATGGGCTTTCTATAATGGGACTTCTAAGGCCTGCTTTTGTGGATGAAGAATCTTATTTAAGAAGGCTTTTTCACAGTGATGATAGTGATGGCTACACTTCAGATGGGAAAGGTAAAGAATCATGACAATTATAATGAGACCGTTAATGGACTAGGCAACTGTGCTGAGATTTGCAATCAGCTGTTCATTCATTCTTTATTTGTGTTACAAAGAGACCTGAGGCCTTACAATTCAACATATGCAGATGAATCAGAACGAGAAGACGAAAAAGTGGCTTCCACATACGACTTAATTGGTATTTTTCTCCTTTTCCGAGATCAGATGAACTCCTTGTAAGAAGTTCCAGGAAGATCCTTCCAGCTGACATGTTTTCTATATCTTATTACCTTGTGAAGATGATGGATTTTTAAGATTTCCCTCTGGTGAAGATGGAGCTAGCATGGGATCAACCCTTTACAAGTTGGAGATCATTAGCATTCAGTTGCACTCTATATATGGGGATCAGGTAGGTTGTTCTAATGGTTGTGTAGGCTACATTATATATTGTCAATTTTATTGTAAAACAACTATAGGTTTTCCAAATTTGTCTGGGATAGTATTTTAAAGGAGGGAATGTGGGCGAGGGCTCCAGGTCGCTTGAAGCGCTCTTTGTCAGTTCTGCACGTCGTAGTTGTAAAGATTATTTTATTTCATTCTCCGGAACAACAGTCCCTATGGACCATGCTTTAAAATCTATAAAAAAAAAAAGGCATACGTTCGATGTATGCGCAGCGTAGTTCGCCGGGAGCAAGCTTGTGAAGTTTGCCACAGAGCGAACTCATCAAGGTTGCCGTCGGTGAAATTATTTGTTTGCTCTTGCGCGAACAAGTTGAGGGCACTTGTGGCCTTCCCATTTTATTGGGAAGATGCCACATGTGCCATCACCATTGTTATAAAATAATTCTCTTTTTTACTTAAAGCAAGTGATCTTTGGGCGGTACGTGATAGTGACACGTGGGTTGGCCACCCACATGTGGCCATTCATGACTTCCTACGTGTTTGGAGGATGCCAAGTGTAACCATGAGGGTGACAGTCGCCCTTAGTTTTCAATAAAAGCCTTAGTTTTAATGTCTTTTGAGGATAGGAAGTTATCTTTTCTTAATTTCTCATGCCTTCGCAGTTTCAAAACTGGAAACGTCTTATAACATTACGAAATCCACATATCAGTTTTCAACAGAATTATTCTCAAATTTGAAGTGTACTATGTTTCCTACTGGTTCATAGTAAAAAAAAAAAATATATGTGAATTTAGAGATCTTTGGGAGTGTAACTCAATGATCCTACGGCAGATTTTGTCAGGATGGTTGTTCTTGGGAGTATACTCAGCGGGACCCAATGTATCTTAGGTTATACACCAAGTCGAGAAAATGCTTCAAAGAAAGCTTGACCATCTTGCGCGTTCAGGTCCCTTGTATATTTTTATTTCATCAGTTTAATATTGTATCTCTCTATCTCCTCTACTTTGATATCCGGACTGAAACCCTCGGGGTTTAGCTGGATTAAAGATAATTATGAAATATCATGTGAAAATTGACTTCGGTTAAGGAGAGACTTTGCTAAATTTTTGTTACAAGGGAATTAGGAAACCAATAGGGTGTTCTAGATTTTTCTCATATTTCATATACTTTGGTGAATAGCTAAACTGAAATAGGAAACCCAACTTATTTAGTGTCCATTAATATTACATACTAGAAAACAACTTGACATGCTTGATATGTCTATAGATTTTTCTTTTTTTTTTTCCCTCCCACATCTGGTCTTCTTAGTGTCATCGCATGTAGAAAATGGAAATGTGCACTTCTTACAAAATGAAAAAGAAGAAGAAGAAGAAGAAGAAAAAGAATAGGACATGAATGGGGAAAATAGTAGTATATGTGATGTTTCAATGGGAATAATAACATGAGATTAGTTCAACAGGTTTTGAAAGGTCGGACTGAGAATGAAAGCCTTGTGACCCCACATGCCAAGATTTTGTGAACGTTTACTGATTTTCTGTGTCTTCCTGATATTAATATACCTTGAGTTGTGGAAACCTTCTTATAATTCACGGATATTGGTAATTGTGATCTTATCTACACAGGCCATATTTTCCCATTTGAAGTCGGCCTGTTTTTTTTGCCTTATTCTTATTCATGGTTTGTAAATTCTACTATGTGTGTTGTGTTATTCACCATTCGAGTTCATACCATTGGTTAGATACCCTTGCATTTGAGTGTTGGCTGATTACTCTCTTGCACCCTCATCTTCTCCCTCTCTCTTTTTTCCCCGCTACCCTCCTGTTGTATGTGTGTATTTTCTGTGCTGTTGAGGGTATTGCTTTCACTTGATGATTGAACTGTTGTTTGATGAAAAAATAGAGAAGCCACTGGAGTTGTTCCACGTTACTTTTTAACCCTGTGCTTTGGAGTTTTCGAATTAATTAAGTTTCAGAACCATTCTTATACATCCTGTGTGTACTTCTGCTACAGTCTGGGATAAATTTGGAAGATTTCCAACAGGCTGAACCAGATATCCTTGTACATTCTGCTTCAGCAATAATCGAACGGTTTAATGAGTATGGTATGAAGTGTGATGTTGCTCTTAAGACTCTCTGCAGAAAAAAGAAGGGCCTTAAAGTTGAGGTAGATGTTTTTTGTGCTGAAAAACTGATTTTGCGTGAGTTCTATAATAATTTGGTTTTCTTTGTAACTTAATGCATAAAAGTTTTATTCATTAAATTAACATGCAGTGCATCAGACAGATCATTTATCAGCTTGCAATCCTTGATGGTTGCAGTGAAAAGGCTAGGTGAAAACATGCAAATATGACTGACGCCAAGTTAATTTGCATTCTAATTGATATTGAGCACCTATCCACACTGTGATGTCACTTGCCATCAGTTTCGATGGATGAGTTGTATTTTCCCATGCATTTCTGATTCGTTCCCTTCAATATGGTAGACTCACATTCATTGTCTCTACTTCATCATTAGAAACCTTGCTTGGTGATATCTCAGATCATTGGTGCTCAAAGCTTCGCCTCTAATCTGAGCTATCTATTGCTTGATGCTCTCTCAGATAATGTGTGGATATTCTTATTAGTTGTGCTTATGTAATTACTTTGAGTATATATCCTTCATTTTCAGCTTTGTGTTTTTGGCATTCACAGCTAGGTTGCATTTTCCATTTATTGGAAATATTGAACATTTCTTTCCTTTTTCTTCTGTGGATTATCTGGGAATCGTGATAAGCAACATATCAACACATCAGGGCACATCACATGTGGAATCGTAACTGATTTTGACTATCTTCTTTTCTTTATGTAGGGAGCAAATCTTATTAATGTTGACAGCCTTGGCATGGATGTACGGGTTTTCTCTGGTGTTGAAGCCCAAACACTTCGGTTTTCATTTAATTCTCAAGTAAGGACGTGGTAAATAACGTAATGTAGGCAGTAGTTCATCTATTCTATACTAAAAAATTATTTTTTCTGTCACTTTTTTCCTGGCCTTTTTTGTGTTACGTTTGATGTTGGAATACAATCAGCACAAACAGCTCGTTACAGTAGGGATGTTATGACGATGGGAAGATCTCACACGCCCAAATTGTTTTTTTTATTCAACTCAGGATGAGTGCATATGATATTGATATCCATATGCACTTGCTAGAATGAAATCTCCATAGGAAATGACACTGCTCTTTGGATTCAGGATGATTGTATGTTTGTTCTAGAGATCCTTGTTTGTTAGTGCAAGGATGATTTTTTCTCCATAAATTCCATATTCCATCTTTTAAACTAGAATGCACTTATTCTTTGTTTTTTGCCCTTTTTTTCCTGGCCTTCTAATATGAGCTACAACAAAAAAGAAAAAAAAGAAAAAAGGTCCATTAAGTGCAAAACCCAAATGGTTTATTGTCTAGCTTTTTTTCCTGGTGATTCTGGGCCTGTCTTTTTATATATTAAAGAAACCATCATTCTTGCAAATCTTTTTTTTCTTTTTCTAATGGGGAGTCACATGATAAGTCAATCCATAAAGGGAAAATTTCATGTAAGTGCAAGGTTCTGAACAATAAAATTATGGCGCATCTAAAAAATTTCACTAGAAGATGTTGTTTTGATACCCAAATATCCTCAAATTGATCATCTCGACCTCAAGATGCATGGACATGAGAAAAAAATGGATTTCAAGTTTTGGAATGGTGCATCTTGTAATGCATTTTTTGACAGTCTATTTTCAAGTTTTCATAGATTTGCTTGATCTACACTATTTTTAAAGCTTTAAATTTTATAATTAATAATGACAACATTATATATATATATATATATATATATATATATAGTAATTCTACCTACGTACTAGTAGT